TTATAACAGGGGGGGTTTGGATGGGCGGGCGCGGGGTGTGCGCCGCATCCCATTCCTGCCAAGCATTTTGCGACGTGGACGACAGGACGTCCATGCTGAGAGGAAAAACGTTGGTGCGCGGCGCCGAGGCGAGAGCGACATGTCACCCCTTCGCGCGGGGTGTGCGCCGCGTCCCATTCCTGCCACGCATTTTGCGACGTGACGACAGCACGACCATGTTGACAAGAAAAACAAAAACTGTGTATTGTCTTTTGCAGATTAGAATGGGACGGATTGGATGGGCGGGCGCGGGGTGTGCGCCGCGTCCCATTCCTGCCATGCATTTTGCGACGTGGACGGCAGGACGTCCATGCGACGGTGCCAATGACGGCGACGACTCTAGAAGGATTTGAGCATGCGCTCGCGGCGACGCGCGCGCATGTCGCCCGCGTGGTATTTTTTGCACAGGATTCGCGGCCCGGGTGCATGACAGAGCATCGCGAGTGCACCGCGCGATGACGTGAAATCGTTGGATTTGACCGAATTCTTAAAATTCCTATGGTTTTCCTATGATTTCAGCAAGAGAGCCCGGGCAGGAAATTTGTAGATTTTTTGTACAAAAAAAGGATTGGGTTTTTGATGTTTTTATGTTGAAATGCTTGCAGACACACGGTGTTCGGTAGGATTCTGACATGAACGCGCGCGTGTGCTCTTTGTAATAATTTTTTGCAATGGATTATCGCCGTGGACGACAGGACGTCCATGTCGAGAGGAAAAAATAAGAAACATATTGATGTTGTATTGTTTTTTACAGGTTAGGATGGGACCACCCGGATGGGGCCCCTATCTGCCGGCCTGAGGGGGGAGTGGGAGTATATTCTAATAAGGAATAAGGATAGGAGTCAAGCTAGCCAGCTCGAGCGAGTCAAGCATGGCATGCCCAGTCCCACCCGCCCTCCCACAACATAAAAAGCAAAGCTGGCACAACTGGGGGCCGAAGTCACACCGGCCAGCCGGTTTGGTACAGCTGATGCGGCCGCGATGGCGGTTGCCGACGGGAACTGGCGAGCGCGTGTTGAATGCCGCGCACGCATTGCCAGACGAGTCGAGAATGGCCCGGTACACCGCAGGAAGCCAGAGGTGGCTGGAGGAAGCCCGACGGTCTGACAGGACACCCCAAGGGGGCCCAGGAGGCCCCAAGAGGCAGGAGTAGTAGTACCAGTGGTAGTGGTGTTGGTAGTGGTAGTGGTAGTAGTAGTAACAGAAAAAATAGTGCTATGACAAGTACTTGCAGTACTACTAGTACTAGTAGTAGTAGTATTAGTAGTAGTAGTAGTAGTAGTAGTAGTAGTAGTAGTAGTAGTAGTAGTAGTAGTAGTAGTGGTAGTAGTAGTAGTAGTAGTTGTAGTAAGGAGCCAATGACGGTGCCAATGACGGCGACGACTCTAGAAGGACTTGAGCACGCGCTCGCGGCGACGCGCGCGCATGTCGCCCACGTTGTATTTTTTTGCACAGGATTCGCGGCCTGGGTGCATGACAGAGCATCGCGAGTGCACCGCGCGATGACGTGAAATCGCTGGATTTGACCGAATTCTTAAGATTCCTATGGTTTTCCTATGATTTCAGCAAGAGAGCCCGGGCAGGAAATTTGTAGTTTTTTTGTGAAAAAACATTGGGTTTTTGATGTTTTTATGTTGAAATGCTTGCAAACACACGGTGTTCGGTAGGATTCTGACATGAACGCGCGCGTGTGCTCTTTGTGGTATTTTTTGCAATGGATTATCGCCGTGAACGACAGGACGTCCATGTCGAGAGGAAAAAAAGAAAAACATGTTGATTTTTTATTGTTTTTTACGGGTTAGGATGGGACCACCCGGATGGGGCCCCTATCTGCCGGCCTGAGGGGGGAGTGGGAGTATATTCTAATAAGGAATAAGGATAGGAGTAGGAGGAGGAGGCGGAGGCGGAGGGGGAGGGGGACGAGGGGGAGGAGGAGGAGGAGGAGGAGGAGGAGAAGGAGGAGGAGGAGGAAGAGAGGAGGGAGGAAGGAGGATGAGGAGGAGAGGAGCAGGACAGGAGGAGGAGGAGAGGAGAAGGAGGAGGAGGAGAGGAGAAGGAGGAGGAGTGTGGATGAGGAGGAGGAAGAGGAGGAGGAGGAGAGGAGAAAACGAGGAGGATAACGAGGAGTAGGAGGAGTAGGAGGAGTAGGAGGAGGAGGAGGAGGAGTAGGAGTCAAGCTAGCCAGCTCGAGCGAGTCAAGCATGGCATGCCCAGTCCCACCCGCCCTCCCACAACATAAGAAGCAAAGCTGGCACAACTGGGGGCCGAAGTCGCACCGGCCAGCCGGTTTGGTACAGCTGATGCGGCCGCGATGGCGGTTGCCGACGGGAACTGGCGAGCGCGTGTTGAATGCCGCGCACGCATTGCCAGACGAGTCGAGAATGGCCCGGTACACCGCAGGAAGCCAGAGGTGGCCGGAGGAAGCCCGACGGTCTGACAGGACACCCCAAAGCATTTTTGTGAAAAAGCATTGGGTTTTTGATGTTTTTATGTTGAAATGCTTGCAGAAACACGGTGTTCGGTAGGATTCTGACATGAACGCGCGAGTGTGCTCTTTGTGGTATTTTTTGCACAGGATTCGCGGCCTGGGTGCATGACAGAGCATCGCGAGTGCACCGCGCGATGACGTGAAATCGCTGGATTTGACAGAATTCTTAAGATTCCTATGGTTTTCCTATGATTTCAGCAAGAGAGCCCGGGCGGGAAATTTGTACAATTTTTGTGAAAAAAACATTGGGTTTTTTTTGATGTTTTTATGTTGAAATGCTTGCAAACACACGGTGTTCGGTAGGATTCTGACATGAACGCGCGCGTGTGCTCTTTGTGGTATTTTTTGCAATGGATTATCGCCGTGGACGACAGGACGTCCATGTCGAGAGGAAAAAATAAGAAAAATGTTGATTTTGTATTGTTTTTTACAGGTTAGGATGGGACCCCCCGGATGCGGCCCCTAATGGCCGGCCTGAGGGGGGAGTAGGAGTATATTCTAATCAGAATAAGGATAGGAGTAGGAGTAGGAGTAGGAGTCAAGCTAGCCAGCTCGAGCGAGTCAAGCATGGCATGCCCAGTCCCACCCGCCCTCCCACAACATAAGAAGCAAAGCTGGCACAACTGGGGGCCGAAGTCACACCGGCCAGCCGGTTTGGTACAGCTGATGCGGCCGCGATGGCGGTTGCCGACGGGAACTGGCGAGCGCGTGTTGAATGCCGCGCACGCATTGCCAAACGAGTCGAGAATGGCCCGGTACACCGCAGGAAGCCAGAGGTGGCCGGAGGAAGCCCGACGGTCTGACAGGACACCCCAAGGGGGCCCAGGAGGCCCCAAGAGGCAGGAGTAGTAGTACCAGTGGTAGTGGTGTTGGTAGTGGTAGTGGTAGTAGTAGTAGTAGTACAGAAAAAAATAGTGCTATGACACCATGCGCCCATACGATTCATGGGGTTGCATTAGGAGGCGTCCAGAAGGCCCCAACTTGTATTGTTTTTTTTTTATAACGGGGGGGTTTGGATGGGCGGGCGCGGGGTGCGCGCCGCATCCCATTCCTGCCAAGCATTTTGCGACGTGGACGACAGGACGTCCATGCTGAGAGGAAAAACGTTGGTGCGCGGCGCCGAGGCGAGAGCGACATGTCACCCCTTCGCGCGGGGTGTGCGCCGCGTCCCATTCCTGCCACGCATTTTGCGACGTGACGACAGCACGACCATGTTGACAAGAAAAACAAAAACTGTGTATTGTCTTTTGCAGATTAGAATGGGACGGATTGGATGGGCGGGCGCGGGGTGTGCGCCGCGTCCCATTCCTGCCATGCATTTTGCGACGTGGACGACAGGACGTCCATGCGACGGTGCCAATGACGGCGACGACTCTAGAAGGATTTGAGCATGCGCTCGCGGCGACGCGCGCGCATGTCGCCCGCGTGGTATTTTTTGCACAGGATTCGCGGCCTGGGTGCATGACAGAGCATCGCGAGTGCACCGCGCGATGACGTGAAATCGCTGGATTTGACCGAATTCTTAAGATTCCTATGGTTTTCCTATGATTTCAGCAAGAGAGCCCGGGCGGGAAATTTGTACAATTTTTGTGAAAAAAAAAAGCATTGGGTTTTTTGATGTTTTTATGTTGAAATGCTTGCAAACACACGGTGTTCGGTAGGATTCTGACATGAACGCGCGCGTGTGCTCTTTGTGGTATTTTTTGCAACGGATTATCGCCGTGGACGACAGGACGTCCATGTCGAGAGGAAAAAATAAGAAAAATGTTGATTTTGTATTGTTTTTTACATGTTAGGATGGGACCACCCGGATGCGCCCGCTATCTGCCGGCCTGAGGGGGGAGTAGGAGTATATTCTAATAAGGAATAATGGATAGGAGGAGGAGGAGGAGGAGGAGGAGGAGGAGGAGGAGGAGGAGGAGGAGGAGGAGGAGGAGGAGGAGGAGGAGAGAGAGGAGAGGAGGAGGAGCAAGGAGCAGGAGGAAGGAAGAGGAGGAGGAGGAGGAGGAGGAGGAGGAGGAGGAGGTGGAGGAGGAGGAGGAGGAGGAGGACTAAATGGGCTAAATGCAAAGCGACAGGGGAGTCGCGCAGGAGAGCCCCTGGGGCCGCAGGAGGAACACGAGCCTCCGCAACCCCAGGGCCGACGGCGCCGCAGGAGGAACACGAGCCTCCGCGGCGCGACGCAGCCGCTGCAGGGGGAGCACGAGCCTCCGCAGCGGGGGCGCAGGAGGAACACGAGCCTCCGCGCCCCGAAACCAGGGCCGACGGCGCCGCAGGAGGAACACGAGCCTCCGCGGCGCGAGACAGCCGCTGCAGGAGGAACACGAGCCTCCGCAGCGGGGGGGGCGCAGGAGGAACACGAGCCTCCGCGCCCCGAAGCCAAGCGAGCCGCAGGAGGAACACGAGCCTCCGCAGCCCTCATGCCTTGGCCATTTTCTCGGGCAGGTCCCCGAGCATCAAAACTTGGCCAACTTCACGGGCCAGCCCAGCCGTTGTCGAACAGCTGCGACGGCGCGAAGCCCGCGCCGAGGACCTCCACGCAGGCGGCCTCGTGCGCGGATCGGGCCTGGGTCAGCTGGTGCTCCAGCATCTTCACGGCGCACGCGGCGTCCAGGACCATCTGCTTGGCAGCGCTGACGGTCAGCGGCAGCCGCTTCTCCATGGAGTCCTTCACGCCGAGCTTGTCGGAGTCGCGCTTGGTCTCCCCCTTGAGCAGCCGAGTGTTCTCCAGGACCAGCTCGTCAATGGCCGACCCCACCGCCTTGACCTCCAGGGTGGCCTGGCATCCAGGGGCGCACTTGAAGTCCTTCTTCATCAGCTCCCCCATCGGCCGAGCGCCAGGGTGCACTGAGACCTTCACCTGCAGCTCCTCCTTCTCGTCCTCCAGGCCGTCCGTGGTGGGAGCCGACGCTGCATCGCCAGCCCTACGACGGCGGCCACGCGCCCGGCGCCGGGCCTCGGCCGCCGTGGTGGGCGCCGCCTGCGGCCCTGCGCCGAAATCGGCGTGCTGGGCCCAGCCGCGGAAGGCGCGACTGGCCCCAGAGGGCCGAGCCACGACGCCTTCGCGGCCCGCCCGCACCATCTCGGTCAGGTGGGGCCTTCCAAGCTGCTCCCTTGCCGCCACCTCCTCGTCCACCTCGGAGGCCAGGCGCGGGGCGAGGAGAGAAGCGCCCACGCGAAGGGCCGAAGCGACCGCGGCGGCCACCACCTGCCGCCCGCCGCCGCCTTCAGCAGCCCCTGCAGCTGCCGCCTTGACCAGCGGCGCCAGCAACGCCACCTGCTCCCCGACGAGGGGAAGGACCGCCGCCATCGCCCGAGCCGCGGCAGGGGGCAGCAACAGCCCGCCTGGCGCCCAAGCAGGCTTGAGCCAAAATGGCTTGAGCCAAAATGGCTACGGAGGAGGAGGAGGAGAAGGAGGAGGAGGAAGAAGAAGAGGAGGAGGAGGAGGAGGAGCACGAGGAGGATAACGAGGAGGATAACGAGGAGGCTAACGAGGAGGCGAGACGGCGGGGAAACACCATGACGAGACGCCAGGCGACTGAGCCTGAGGGAGGCGGTGAGACGACGACGTCCCCAGGTCCTGGGTGTTGCTAGAAGTAGCCCTGGCCCTGGGTGCCCCAAGGACTTCCAAGGGAGCCCCCACGGCCTCAAGAGCACCCCTCACGAGGCCCAGAGGGCCCCAGGGGCTCCAAAATTGAGCGAAAAGCTGGGGGCACCTCAGGACAGCGGCACCGTCAGCAACACCCGAAAGTTCTCGCCGCCTAATGACGAGCACCCGAGACCGAGGGAGGCGCAGACGGGGCAGGCAGACCTCGGCATTGGCCAGCAGGCTGGAGCCCAGGTAGCCCGGCTCAGCCTGCAGACCGGGGGACTGCGTGCCGCGCTCCTCCTCCTCTCAAGTTATCCTTCTGAATCCCTCTTCCTCCATCCCTCCATACTCCTCCTCCTCCTCCTCCTCCTCCTCCTCCTCCTCCTCCTCCTCCACCCCTCCCTCCCTCCCTCCCTCCCTCGTTCCCTCGTCTTCCTCCTCCTCTTCCTTCTCCGCCTCCTTTTCCTCCTCCTCCTCCTCCTCCTCCTCCTCCTCCGCGGCGTGGTGTCTTCGGCGCAGTCGCCACGGAGAAGGCGACCAAGGCTGGGAATCGAGGGCGAAAAGACAAATTCGCCTTGATGATCGCGAACCGCCAGTTGAAGGCGACCATGGCCGTGAAGCGGTGCTCTTCGGCAACGCCGTCATGGCGGAGATGATCGGGCACAATTCAAGGAGATGCTCAGCAAGGCCTTGCGCGCTCTCGCGAGCATTGCAACGTCTATACGGCGATGGCGTCGTGTGGATCCCGAGCGTTGTGTTGCTCAAGGACGGGGGCATCTCCGGCACAAAGGACGGGATGCCCTGAAATAGTTCCGGGGATCTGGGGGGGGGGGCGGCCTCTCCCCGGAGCCGGCCCTGGGAACGGCCTCCCCCTGCGTTCGGAGGAAGGGCGGCAGTTCCCAGGGGGCGCGCCTCTGGGCGCGTCCTGCTGCGCAGGCTCGGGGGGGACCGCCCCCCCCCCTCGCGGGGTGCGAGGCGTCGCCGACGCATGTTCTGATCCACCGGATCCACCTCCGCCTGGGGCGGCGCCCTCCTCCCGCGGAGCCGCCGGCCTCCCCGCCCCATCCCCATGCTCCTGCCCCTGGAGAACATGTCGGGGAGGGGCTCGACATGTCGTGGATGTCTTTCTGTGTGCTTGTTGCTCGCCTTCCCCATCCACTTCCCACATTGTCCATAGATGATCCTGTGAATCGGCGATTCTTCGTGTCTGTGTGTGGTCCCTCCTGAGCAAAGAGGCCTTGTGGGCCTCCTCGCGAGCCTGCCCTGAAGCCTGCACCGCCGCCATATCCGGAGTCGATATCTATTTAGTTCTGGAACGTGTCAGGCGATGCGTTCTGCCCCCTTGTCGGCGGCGAGCGAGGGGGGGAAGCGAGAAGGAGAAGTCAGATTCAGAAGGCGGCGGGACTTCTCAGAAGTCCTCGCGCCATCTGAGACATGTTCTGTCTTCGGGGAAGGCTCGGCACACTTCTCAGAAGGCCGTAGGGCTTCCGAGCGTGCTGCGACAACCCGCCACTTTTCTCCCTTCCGCACCAGGCTGCCCCCCCCCCCAACGGGGGAGAGGCTCGATATCCCTGGCCAACGATCCCCCAGGGCCTGCCCAACGGCAACAAGTCAAGTCTGCTCCTCACTGCGAGGCAGTGGTGGCCCAGAACGAGAAGGCCCGCCCCTTCGCACCGTCCCCCCCGGGGCTCGACGCCGGCCTTGGGCCCCCCCTTCCGAGAAGAGCCCGTCGGGCGCGCCGACTGGCCTCGGAGTCCTCCTGGCTGCTGTGGCGCCAAATTTGAGCCCATTCGGTGGCGCTAGCGTCGGTCCGTCTGCCACAGTTGCAATCAAACCGCCCGAATGCATTCGACGAATGGCCCGCTTGGACGCGCTGTTCCCCAACGCCTCGGGTGCGCAGTTGAGAAGGAGTGGTGGACAGAACTGCGAACTCGTTGCTATGGTCATCGTTGCTTGTGCTTTGCTGACGTCCGTGCCCGCGGTTCCACCGTGATCTCTGCGCGACTCGACATCGAACAACCCTGTATGCCAAATGGGCCCATTGATCGTTATGTACAGTACTCAACTCGATAATCCATCGCGGATGTGATTGACGGTTTCGGCATGTAGACGAGACCTCATCTTCGCCATCCTTTGGATTATTACAAAGAAGGAGACACGCTTCCGCAAGCCATCCAACTAGCCAAAGTTCGCCCGAGCACGTAAAACATCGAGATCTGCCCCCGTACAGACACCGACGGATGAAGAAACTGAGTACGAGCGGGGATCGGAAAAGGAGGCGATACGTTGTTGTGTTTACGATGTGCTAGTGTTGTTTGGGAATGCCTGCAGGAATCAATAAGACATGCATGACGGAACTGCAAAACCAACGGGACTCCGCAGGGGAAATCCATGGGCATCCGAAAGCGAAATCCACAGAGGTTCGCAGGAGTACTGATTCCTGTGGACTGCTGTTGGGCCCACAGGTGCACCAAGTTTAGGTCGGGCATGTCCTCTATAGGCGGATGTTGGACGAACGAACAAATAATTAACAAATGCCCCAAGCACAAAGTTCAAACTAATACCTGAAACATCGTCCACAGACTATGTGTAACTATGTTTGAATACTCCTCCTGTGGAGGGACACGCCCGACTAATACGAATTCATGTGGGCTGCTATGGGGTCTACAAGAACACCCATCTGCCGCTGAGGATTCGACGGTGGCCGCCGCTGCGGCCGCGGCGGCGGCCAGCGGCTGCGCGGCAGCCGCCGCGCGGACGCTGCGGAAGGCGCAGATCGAGATCGAGGGACACCCGACCCTCGGCCTTCGGGCCAGCAGATGACGAAGCGAGCCGAGAACGTCCAGGCCGTTCTGAGCAAGGACGACAGGCGAGCGAATCGGGGGGGAGGCAGCTCGAGCTCCTCCTCTTATTCGGTGCAGGCGGGGGGTCACTCGACCCTCGGCCTTCAAAGCAGCAGATAGGAGAAGTAGCAAGCCGAGACCGTCCAAGCCGCCCTGAGCAAGGCCGACAGACAAGCGAATTATAGGAGGGCAGCTCGAGCTCCTCCTCTGTGGGGGGGTCAGCTCCTCCTCTCCCTGCCCGCCCCAAGGGTCGACCGAAACGGTGTCTCGCGATTCCGTGGGCCGTCTTCGTTTCGAAACCGTTTTTTGCAGCAGAGACGGATTGGAGACGGAACGAGGGAAGACGAAGACACAACGAGAACGAACAACAGTCTTTTGGGGTCGGGCGGAGAGTAGAAGCCTCCTAGATGGGATCCGAGTAGATGCGGTCGGGGTATCGCGCCGCATCGGCGACGTTGGCGGTGCACCGGCGACGGCAGCAGGGAGGAGGACGAGGAGGGGGAGGGAGGAGGAGGAGGAGGCGGAGGAGGGAGGAGGAGGAGGAGGGCGAAGAGGGAGGAGGGCAGGGGAGGAAGGAGGAGAGATGGAGGAGGAGGAGGAGCCGGAGGAGAGGAGATTAGGAGGAGAGGAGGCGGAAGAGGAGGAGGATGAGAAAGAAGGAGGAAGGGGGGGAGGAGGAGGAGGAGGTGGTGGCACCTGCTCCGACCCCACCCAGGAGGCATGGAGAGAGAGAGAGGTGGGCGGAGAGCGGGGCGGCGCGCGGGGGCGAGGCAGAGCCGAGGGCGGCCTCCCGTGCCCGCGGGGCCCTGGCCAGCAGCCGCGCGCTGACCCACCCCGCGGCCGGGCCGTGGCCGCGCAGCTTCTGGAACCGAAGGCGCTCGCCGGCCTGCGGGCGGGCCGGGGGTGGTAGGCCTAATTTTCCACCACAAGCACCAGAAGTTAGAGGCGGAGGGGGTCCTCCTCCTCCTCCCCCTCCTCCTCCTCCTCCTCCTCCTTCTCCTCTTCCTCCTTCTCCTCCTCCTCCGCTCCTCGTCGTCCTGCACCTCCTCGTCCTGCACCTCCCTCTCCCCTCCAACTTGGTGGTGGGAAACAGGCCAAGCAAGTCAAGGGAGGGGGCCGGGCAGGTTCGCCCGTCGCTGGTGCCGTGGACCGTGGCAGCCCTTGGGCGAGTACAATGTGAGGTGACGCTCGGGATCGAGCAGAATGGAGTTTCCTGGCCGGGGGGCCGTTTGTTTGAGCTACTGAGGCTCCAGGAAGGCCCAGGAGAGCCCCAAGAGGGCCCAAGGATGGCCACAAGCCGGCTCGCTCGTCGCTCGTGCCGGTGGCTGTGGCAGCCCATGGGCGAGCACAGCGTAAGGTGAAGACCAAGAGAAGACGATGCGGGGGGAACGATTGACAAAATAGCTTCCGAATCTTCGGCTTCCGCTTCGATTCGGCTCCGTCTGGCCCGTCGGCCGTCCAGGCGCGCGCGAAGAGGGCGGGGGGAACAAATTCACAACTAGTTTCCCGAGACGGGGGCCTGTTTTTCTGATCATCATCCCCGGCGCCGCCGCGTGAACACGACCTCCAGTAATTTACCGAATCATCATCTTGCATTACTGGCAGGTCCATTGTGCAAATGTACAGGGCGCACTCTTTGGCACCACGTGAAGGCGTCAATCACTGCATCTTGGGTCGGGAACTGTGCCTGGCCAGACGGATTGCGCCAGACCCATTCCTTCCCAGTGGTGCGCCCGACATGGTACCTCCCGTACAGATTGTGTCCCAATGGCATGCCCGAAGTGGGCACGGTCAGAAAATTAGCAGGCAACTCCTGAGGGGGCTTCGTCATGACGATCCAGGGCTCGTAAGCCAGGTCAAGGGGCCATGATGCCCGGGACTGAGCCCGGGATCATGCCCGGGACGAAGCCCGGTCAAGGTGCCGGACTGAGCCTGGGATGAAGCCCAGGATTCAGTCCAGGACTAAGCCGGATTGGACTGGATGAAGCATGAAGAAACCCGATTGGGCCAAGTTTCGGCTGGGGATCTACCAGCGCCAGTTCAGACTTGAGCCTCCCAGGAGGTGCATCCTGGGGAACGGGCGCGGTCGGAGCAGGGGCAGAAGAACCTTCTACAAGAACGTGCGCCTGTCCCACATGGTGGACACACGGAAAGGCATGACCTGGAACCCCAGCCTTACCGGAGCGAACGTACATAACTGTTAAACTCAAGGACATTCCCCAGTACCCTTCCCCAGGTTGCACATAGACATGCAACACAGCGGAGAACCCCAGGTATCCTCACCGAAGCATGCATGTTCTTGCGCGTCGCTTCGACGGTACAATGCCCAACAGCCACGGTTGCCCTAAACCCGAGTCTGCCCGAAGAGCACCCAGGAGGGCCCCAAGATGCGGCTGTCAGGGCCCGAGCGTCTCTTTGATCGACGGGGGCCCCGAGACAGCCCCCGACAGGTCCCCGACAGGTCCCCGACAGGGCCCCGAAGGCCTCCCAGACAGCCCCCCAAAGGAGGGCCCGAGGGTGGCCCGTGCACTCTGCCAAGAGAGGCTCCCGCAGCGCAGGGACGCGTGGAGGCATCTCAGGCGGAGCCCTCGGCCTGCTCGGGCCTTGCTGGGCCTCGTGTTCCAACGCCTCCCTGGTCCAATGGATCTCGCCTGGACATCGTTGCTGCATGAGCTGCTTAGAGCAAGCAAGATCGAGGGATGGAAAAACGCCCCTACCCTGGGTTAGAAGTGCGTGGTCATTAAAAACCACCCGGGAGCTCCCACAGGCTAGAGAGCCGCCAGGACGCCGCGCGGCACGCGCGATACGCAGGGTTTATACTGTCAGCCCACAGGAGGTTCAGCGCACAGCGCCTCATAAACCAGGGTAGGGGCGTTTTTGTTACGCCCTTGACAAAAAGCTTCAGACATGCTCATCCTTCGCCGCCAACCACATGTGTGCGCGACGGCACGCTGGACCATCCAAACGCCACGATACTCTTTCGATAGAGGAGCCTGGCGAGAAAGCGTGAGGGGGGGGAGAAGGGCAAGGAAGAGGATGGCGACGACGAGGAGGACGAGGAGGACGAGAAGACGCGGAGGCTGAGGAGGGCGAGAAGACGAAGAGGACGAGGAGGACTAAGAAGACGAGGAGGACGAAGAGGACGAGGAGGACGAAAAGACGAAGAGGCGGGCGAGGAAGACCTGGGCGAGGACGACCACACCGGCCACGATGACAACGACGACGACGACCACGACGACGACGACGACGACGGGGACGAGACCACGAGGACGACGAAGACGACGAGGAAGGATAGGACGACGACAAGCAGAAAGAGGACGAGCCTGACGTGGAACACGAAGGGGAGAGGGAGGAGGAAAACGAGCAGGAGGATCACGACGAGCAGGAGGAAGAGGAGGGGAAGAGGAGTAGGCAAGCAGGAGTGCGATCAGGAAGACGAGAAGGATGGGAGCGAGTGGGAGAACGGGGAGGGGACGAGGATAGCAAAGAAAACCTCGGATGTTACAAATTGATAGTCTGTTCACCAAAGTAAACTGGTGTACTGGGCCACAAACCAAATCTTCCAGTCCCCGGCCCAGGGGACAGGCGGCGGCGACGCTGGCCGCAGCAGGCGCTCGCCGCAGCCGTCCGTCGAGGACTGCAACCACAACCGGCGAGCACTGCAGAATGCCCATGAGCACCGCGCCGTGCTCGCGACCGCCGGGCGGCCCGGGCAGCCAGAGCCTGCCAGGGCCACAGCGGCGTGCGAGCGCGACACGTGCACGCAGCAGCATGCTGGGCCCTGCAGGTGCCACAACGGCCCAAGAGCAACAGGTCTGCGAGCACGGGCAACAAGCCTGTGCGCGCAACACCAGCCTGAAGAGGAGGAGGAGGAGGAGGAGGGGAAGGAGGAGGAGGAGGAGGAGGAGGAGGAAGAGGAGGAGGGAGGAGGAGGAGGATGCAAATAGCACCCGACCCTGCGAGCGCTGCGTTTCCCTGCGAGCGCCGCTGCCCTCACCTGGGAGCGCCACGCGGGCGCCGACGACCGCACCTTGCCACGAGGCCCGGGCGCACGCGCGCTGCGACGATGCCAGGGGGCGCATTGCAGCAGGGGTGGTGCCTTACGCAGGAGGGCGAGGCCTGGGGTTAATGCGGGATGACGATGAATAACAAATGAGAGAGAACGATTAAACAAATAGCTTTCTGCTATTTCTGCATACTTTTCTGACTGGAGGAGAACGATGAAAACACATAATTTTCCAGCCCGCGAGCGGTTTTTTCTAATCGTCATCCTGGGCGCCGCCGCGTGAACACGACCCCCGGTCATTTATTAATCGTCATCCCCCATTACGGGGAGGAGACAACCATAACGCGCACTATGGCCCAGACCATAAGGAAAACGCTGAAGCCGGCATCGTCGATCCTTGCTGTCTTTTTCTGGGGGGGGGCCCAACAGTAACGATATATCGCTACTCCCTGGACCTCTCCCGGGGAACGTGCTGACCATGGCTTCGATGCAGGTCAAGCGTGGCGACGAGCCCCCCCCTGGGACGGTCAAAAGTCGAAGACGAGACAAGGGTTAGGCGCATCCGTGCCTCCTCCTCCTCAGACCATTCTGCTTTCCGAGGCACCAGATAAAAGGTGGAAAGGGAGGAGGAAACCGGATGGGTACTGCCGCGCACACCCGTCGCCGTTCCCATTCCCGCGAGAGTTGGTTGGGTGCCGAGCACACACGGGTGATCGATAACGCCCCCTCGCTTCCTCTGATACTGCTGCGCACCGCGATCGAATGGCGGTCCCACTCCCACGAAGCGCTTCGCGGCCGCGCCTAGGGCATGGCCGTCGCACTACGCGGGCACCGACCCCACGCCCGAGCTCGGAGGGTATGTGGACGATTGAGGGAGGTAAACCATATTCGAACGATTACTCGAGGTAAGGTGGAGTAGAAGATCGAGGTCGCACCCTGGGGCCCCAAACCCAAACAGCGCTTGCAAAAAAAGCAAGCTAACTCCTCCTGCTCCTGCTCCTCCTCCTCCTCCTCCTCCTCTTTGCCGTTGCTCAGACGTTAGGGTTCATGCCCCCTCCTCGCCCTCGTCCTCGTCCTCCTCCTCCTCCTCGGCGGCGGGGCGGCCCTCTCGGCCACGCTCACCACGGCGCCGACCCCGAGCTTCCCCAGCGGCTTGGAGGTCAGGCTCCGCCCCTCCCGCACCGGAGCCCCGCCGACGTCCGCGCCGCCGACCACCTCGCGGGGCGACGTCGGGCGCGAGAGGCCAACGTAGCGCGGGCGAGGGAGGAGGAGGAGGAGGAGGAGGAGGAGGAGGAGGAGGAGGAGGAGGAAAGGAGGAGGTGGAGGAGGAGGAGGAGGAGGAGGGAGGAGGAGGAGGAGGGAGGAGGAGAAGAGGAGGAGGAGGAGGAGGAGGGAGGAGGAGGACGAGGAGGAGGAGGAGGAGGAGGAGAGGTTCCAGGCTGCGGCGCTTTCGGGCGCCTCCGTCGGCTCTCGGCGGTGCTCCAGCCTCGGGATGCCCCTTCCTGCCGCCGCGCCCCACCGGGAAGGGTCCTGGAGGGTGCCGGACACGTTCCGGGTGGCCGCCGGAGGACCGAGGCGTACCCCACAAAAACCACCAGGGGGCCGGCTCAGGGGGGGGGGGGTAGGCATCGGGCTGGAGTCGGCAATGCATCATACGTCGCTGATAGCTGGGCGACAGGCCCCCGGCGGCCGATGGCAAAGCCAGACGGTCATGGACGGGATGGGACATCGGGCCTTATCGGCGATGAATCAGCGACTGTGGGTCGACGCGTTCCCTCCTGAACCCATTCCCCACCCTTGCGTTGCACCTGAGGGCAGAAGTCGTCATCGTCGTCGTCGTCGTCGTCGTCGTCGTCGTAGTCGTACGCGTCGTCGTCCTCGCATTCCTGGTCGTCGTATTCGTCGTCCGTGTTGTCTCGTCCCCGTCGTCGACGTCGTCGTCGCCCTCGTCCTCGTCCTCGTCGTCGTCGTCGTGGTCGTCGTCCTGGTAGTCGTCGTCGTCGTCGTCTTCGTCGTCGTCGTCGCCGCCGAGGGCCAGAAACAGCGCTCCCCGCCCGCGTCCTTTGCATTGGGCCGATTTCGGGCCCCAGGATCGTCAAGCATCGGCCCAGGATGAACAACTGGCCAGAATGGGCCCCTGGAAGGGTCTAGTAGCCTAGCAACCGATTGTGATCAGGTCGTCGTCGACCGAGGATAGGAGGATCGAGATTATCGGGCATTCTCTTTGGGATTATGTTCGGCGGGCGGGGGAAATACTGCCTAGATGGTTCTGGGATTGCTCTGGGGTAGTATTTGGGCCCCGCCCCCCCTCCCCCCGGCCAGCCCAAAGAACATCGGGCACCACCCCAGGCACCACCACGACGTCGCCGTCTTCCTTCTCATCGTCCTACCGCCCCCCTCACGGACGCTCCGCGTGCACCGGGGCGCGCGCGCGCGCGAAGGAAGGGGGGAGGAGGCTACAGTCATCGGCCTGACCTAAGGAACGATAAATAAGGAACGAAGCCCCTTTTAACGCATAAGGAACTGTAAATAACGCATGCACAATCTAAGGAACGACCGAGCCCCTTTTGAAAAGTGAGTGTTCCTTAGTCAAGCCGCTCACTGTAGGTGTGTGGCATGTGCCCAGCCCCAGACACCATGGATCCCGACATGTCCACGGTGCTGTGTCTGACTTAAACGCCCTTCCACCTGCGGAGACGCCGCCACTCGACTTCTCGTCCGCTGCCGCCGGAGGCGAAAAGCGCGCCGAAAGCGAGGCCCATTCTGGAGAGCGCCCCGCCCAGAACTGCTGCGCACCCACCGCCGAGGGGGGTCACCCCAACAAAAACCTCGCGCGGGCCTTCGAAAAAGCATTCGCGATATATAGATTCTGGCAAGCGTGCTTGCTCGGAGGGGAGGGGGGGCTCCTTGGCGAGCCCCAGCAGGGAGGGTGGACATCACGCAGGTCGAAGGTCAGTGGCACCCTTGTTCGGCCCAGTACTGAATGACTAGACGGCGAGGGGAGCGACGGGTGTGGGGCGAGAGGGGCGGGGTTGGGGAGCGGGGGGGAGGGGGGGGGAGGAAGGGGTGAGGAAGGGGTGGGGGGGGGGCGCAAGATTCCGTGCAAGAGAACGTCCAGAATCTAAGCAGAAACATTGCTCAAGCTCAAGCCTTCTCCGAGCCATCCTCCAGACAGAACTCAACGGGAGGAGACATCACCCTTAGATCGGGCATGTCATCCTACGGGAGAAATGTGGAAAGACAATTATCCCAGTGCGACCCTACCTAGGAGTCGGAGCATTTCGGAAAACAGCATCTACATCTACACCGACAGCTATGGTATGCTAGGGTACGCTCGGCTGCCCTGGGATATGCTAGGCTATGCAATGCTATGATATGCTGCGCTATGCTATGCTATGCTATGCTGCGCTATGCTATGCTATGTTATGGTGCGCTATGATATGATATGATAGGCTATGCTATGACATGATATGCTGCGCTATGCTATGCTATGCTATAATATGCTATGCGATGCGATGGTTTGCTATAATATGATACATGTTATGATGCGTTATGAAATGCAATGCTACGCTATGCTATGCTATGCTATGCTGCCCTGTGCGATGCTAAGCAATGCTATGCTACGCAATGCTATGCTATGCTATGATGCGCTATGCTATATTATGCTATGCTGTGCTGCGCTATGCTGAGATACGCTATGATATGGTATGATATGATTGGCAATGCTATGCTACGGCATGTTGTGTTAATGCTGCGCTGCGCTATGCTGCGCTAAGTTAAGGCAAGCTAAGTTATGCTAAGCTAAGCTAGGCTAGGCTAAGCCAAGCTAAGCAAAGCTGAGCTAAGCTCAGCTAAGCTACGCTAAGCTAAGCGAAGCGAAGCGAAGCTACGCTAAACTAAGCTAGGCTAAGCTAAGCTAAGCTAGGCTAGGCAAAGCTAAGCTAAGCGAAGATAATATTAGATAAGCTAAGCTAAGCTAAGCTTAGCTTAGCTAAGCTGGGTGAACCCAGGGGGCGCAACTGGGGAACCGCGGGGCGGATGCCGGGGGCGTCGGGGTCCGCGGCGGCACTGCGGATTGGAACCTGCTGTCGCTGCTCATCCGACTCCCCTTCTTCCTTCCCCCCCCGCTGATCTGCCTCCTCGGCCTCAGGGAGGGGGAGGTGTTCAGGGTGGCAGGGGGCCAGAGTGGGGCGCAGGAGGCAGGCGCTGTTGTTCGTTTGAGTGCGGCGCTTCATCGGTTCTACAGGGTAGCTTCCCTCCCCCTCGCCTTCCGTCTCCTGCGGGCGAGCTCCGTGCGGCCGCGGCACCCGCCACACCCCTCCTGCTTCGCCTCTTTCGACTTCGACTCCTCTACCCGCCTCCCCCCCCTTCTCCTCCTCCTTCTCCTTCTCCTCCTCCTCCTCCACCCCCTCCCCCTCCTCCCCCCTCCTCCTCCTCCGCCCCCTCCCCCCCCTCCTCCGCCCCCTCCCCCTCCGCAGTGCCTCCTCCTCCTCCTTTTCCTCTTCCTCCTCTCCCTTCCGATCCTGAGCATTCGTGGCCCACATGCCTCGTACTTGACGTCGGCGTCCTGCACCGGAGCTGCATCCGCCATCGACGCCATGGCCCTCTGCGCGGGGGAGGCGGACAGCGAGAGAGGAGCAGGACAGTCACAGGGGCCAAATTGTGCGGGGGCTCGGTGGCACTAATGGGCTGGAGTCTCTGCGGACAGGGCCCTTGACCTGGGCACGGCCAATGGCCGAACATTGGGGAAACATCGCACGGGCAATTTACGCCCGATGGGATCCGGGTGGAGCCAACGCGAACGCTCAGATAAAACTCCATGCCGCAATCGTCTTGGCGTTCAACGCGCGGGCGCCAAAGTCTCGGACCCCTCCCTGGGGCGGCTTGCTGCCACAGAGACTGGGCATCCTGGAGCATGGCTGTGCCAGAAGGCCCAATCCTGCGAGAACACCTCGGCATTGTCGCTTGACGCTGCGAGGAGTTCCAGTTACGCTCAAGTGGAATAGCTTTGGCTCCGGCCTGGTCCTCCAGTCCCCTGGGAGGCATTCGCGTTGAGAGCTCTGGAGGCCCACGCGCGGGCGTCGTAGCCACTTTTGAATCCCAGCTCCGCCGATCCCGCCCTTCCCTTGGGGAACCTCTGAAGCCCCCAAAGAAGAATCCGAGGCATGGCCAATATGCCTCCTTTTCTTCCTCCTCCTCCTTCTCCTCCTCCTCCCCCTCCTGCTCCTCCTCCTGCTCCTCCTCCTCCTGCTCCTCCTCCTGATCCTCCTCCTCCTCCTCCTCCTCCTCCTCCTCCTCCTCTACCTCCTCCTCCTCCTCCTCCTCCTCCTCCTCCTCCTGCTCCTCCTCCTCCTCCTCCTCCTCCTCCTCCTCCTCCTCCTCCTCCTCCTCTCCCTCCTCCCAAGGACCAGAACTGGGTGGCAGCGCCCGGCGCGAAAACGCCGCGGCGCCGCAACCTCAGGGCAGAGCGGCCCGAGCATGCCGTCCAAGCGTCTTCCGTCGCGGCGCAGCGGAAGCGATCCGCTCGCGCGTCGAGCAGCCCGGGCTGCGGCGTTGCGAATTTGAAGGTCTGCCTTCCCCCCCACTTCCCATATATTCCAATATTTCCCAGGGAATCGTCGATCAATCGTGTCTGTGTGTGTGTTTTTGCTTCCCCTCCTGCGAACCGTCCTCCCACACGCAAGAGAAGGGAGGGCCAGGCTGGCGTCCAAGCACCCGTGTTGGTCAGCACGCGCCCCCCCAGAGCCCCGACCCACTGCCCGGGACCAGCCGTTCACCCCGAGCCGCTCTTTGATCACCGGGCCCGCGGAGGGCCGCAGCGGCCAAAAGCCCCTCCGTCGTGATGCTTTCGGCTACACGCGAGAGTTGCCCTGGCCAAGAGTGACGAACGAACAACACACACACACACCCATACCCAGAAGGGTGGTCGTTGGGAGGAGGACTCGCTATGGGTATGGGTGCGGGTTGTCAGACCCTGGGGAACGCTCCCGTTCGAGCGGGGACCCCCATCCGACAACACGTACCCATAGCCCTCTCCGACCCCCCTATGGGTATGGGTGTGTGTTGTTGGTTCGCCAAAGAGTGACCTGTGGTGCGCGGCGGCAGGAGGCCGCGGGCCTGGCCAATGCCACTCGCGCAAGCCGGTGCCGGTGCTGGGGTGGCCCCTGTGGGCCCGCACCGAAAGCCACCCCGGCGAAAGGGGCACCCTTGCGCGCAGCCGACCTCTCCGCGTCTCGAGCACGCCTGGGACCGTGGCTGCGCCTCCTCACGGTCGGGGGCTGCCAGAGGTGCCCCTGGCCCAGGGTGCCGCCAGCGTTTCGTTCCGTGTTGGGGTCCTGAAGGCCCCCTGGGCCTCGTGATGGGGTGCTCTAGTTGAGCAGGGACCGACCGTCCCGGCATTCTTATAGTCTTACCACGGCATGTTCTTAGAACCGAAAATGTTCGAAGGGCAAAATCATGTTCCTAGAACGTTTTAAAACAAGACAGTCCTAGCAAGAAATGTTCTAAGCACATTTCGTGCAGACCACGACAGGTTCTTAGAACATTCTTTGGTGGCCCTATATCGGGTCGGGCGAAAGGGGGGGATAGCAAAGGGGGGGGTTGAGGATCAGCTCACGTAGCTGATTCTCCCGGCGCCTCCCGGCGCCAGAGGCGGCTATGTATCGAGGAATGGGCCCCTCGGTGAGGCCGAAACCAGCTGCATGCAGCAAATTTCGTAACCCCCCCTTTCCCAATCCCCCCCTTTCGTCCGGCCCGACTATAGGCGAGCCAGGACGCTTCGCCACTGCTCGACCTGAAGCGCGTCGGGGGCCCCCTTGGACATCCCGGGGGCACCTGGGGGCCAGGGGCACTCTCGCGTGCCCCTGGCCCCGACAACACCCGTCACGGGGGGACTCACCCGACACGGGGGGACGCCGACAACCCGACAACGCCCGACACGGGGGGACGCCGCGCGGCGCGAGAGCCGCGAGGGCCCCGCCTGCCGCCCCCCACCGCGGCCGCCGCGCTCGGGGCGCCATGGCCGCCCGGCCCCGGCCGGCCCGGCCCCCGGGCGCGCTGGCCGAGACGGCGGCGGGGGGGGGGCACGGCGGCAGAGCAGCAGAGCGGCGAGGACCCCGAGAGATCTCCCAGAGCGGCGACGACCCCCTTTTCTTCGCTCTCTCAAGTTCGTGCCTGCCTACAGAGGCAAGGCATCGAATTTCATACGTACATGTCGCAGCAACTTTGCTGCGGGCTGAGGCGGGTGGGGATTTCTTGAAGGCAGATCTGCCTTCAAAAAACCGTTCTTACGGAGTAGACCAGTCTTTCCTCCTTGCAGGTAGAGTGCGAATCCAGAGCCAATCTAGGCTCAAGCCTGATGAGCCGCTGATTGCGGCGAAAGCCAGCACCAGCCAAGAGAAGCAACGAACCTGAAAAAAAGTGGGACGTGCCACCTCCAGCCGCACGCCGGAGAGAAGCGCTACAGTCGGGGCGTTGACCTAAGGAACCCTAAGTGAGGAACGAGGCCCCTTTTTGCCATAAGTTGAACTTCGATTTCCCATCGAAAACCTTCGCAAAAAACCTGAGAAACGCTGCGAAACACTCAAGGAACGCGGAGCCCCTCTCCAACGAAAGGGGGTTCCCTCTTCAGGGCCCCGACTGTACTGTGCTCGACGGAATAAGAACCCGGTTGACAAGAATTCCAGGTCCCTCCCCCAAAAAACAGCACCAGACAGCCCCTGCTGATGGCTGACAACACAAGACGACCCCTGGACAAGCCTCCACGCGATTCTTCTTCCACCGGACATGGTAGGCAAGACTGACCTTCGGTGCGCGGCTTCTGGGGGCGCGAGCGGAAACCGTTGCCGAACTGACCCCCATCCCCCCCACCCCAGTCAAGGTGGGCACGCGCGGAGGAGACTGCGGTCGAAGTGCAACTCATCAGACCCACCGCCAGCTTCGAACTGTCGGGGAAGGGGGAGGCGTTGACAGATGAGTGTGGCATGAGGGTTCGCTATTACTCCCGAGGCCTGAAGGGGGCCAGAGTCAAACGCACAGGCCGGCGCTGTCGCGTCGCATCCGGCGACCGTGGGGGCCCAACGGGGCCCGCACCAAAGGTCACTCCGGCGAAGGGTCACTATTACGGTGACAACACTGATTTTTATCTCTGTTGGTCCGCGCACGCGCGGGCCTCCTAGCAGCAGTAACTTCAACGTGTGGTCAACCTCGGCACCAACAGGTTCGGTGACGGCACTGAGTAAGGAACCAGTGGGTAAGGTATCCAGGGTCTACAAGCCGGTGGGACTCCAATCCTTGAGTAGCCATGGATATCACCGCCGCCCTCATCAGATAAGCCGCGCGGGGTCTGTAGCCCCTGGGCACATGCCTTAACGAACGCCCCCACCGTACACGTGCAATCGACACCCAGGGTGTTCGACCGCCACCGTCGCCAGCGTGCCAGGTCTCCGCATCTCTGCCGCCTCCTCCCCCATGATCGGCGGCGATCCCGGGGGGGGGGAATGAGAAGGGGCGGGCCTTCTCAGTAGGCTCGGAGCTCCCCCGGCCTTCTGGGAAATGTTCTGAGCCTTCCCCGAAGGCACGGAGCGCTTCTCAGAATGCGCGAGGGCCTCTGAGAAGACCCGTCGCCTTCTGAGAGGGCCTTCGGTTCTGCGTCCAGTTGACCCCGGCGTTGGTTCCTGGCACCGTGGGGACCGTTCAGACTTTCACTGTGCCGACCTTGCAGACGTGCTGCAGCGGATTGTTGCGTGGATCCCTGTGAACGCAAAGCCTCGAAACAGCGAGCGAACAACGAAATGAATGTCACGTGGAGTTTTTGTAGTCTTCATTCCTGGCAAAGAAAATCCGCTTGAACTGACTTCGAAACCCGGAACGAAAGTCTCCGGGACACTCTGGGCCCATCCTGTCGTTTCCCGTGCGAGATCCGCTCTGCGATGCTGGCGCCATGAAGACTCGAACAATCGCCCCTTGCAAAAAGGACAGATCGCTCAAGGATGGGCCAGTCCTGGGCCACATTTGGCGGCGCGCAGAAAGGGGGTAGGGGGAGGGGGAAGGCTTCTTAGAAGGAGGCTGCTTCTTAGAAGGCGCCAGCCTTACATCTATAGGAAAGGATCGCGTCTTCTAAGAAGCAGGGGTGCTTCTAAGAAGCCTTCCCCTAAAACAGGGCTAGGATCGGGATAAATCGCTCCAGAGCGTTCCGGAGCGCTCTCAGAGCGTTCCGGAACGCTCTGGAGCGACCGCGGCGCCCAATACATCCTCCAAACCCGCCGATTCGCAGAGATTTCGAATTATCCCGATCCGAGTTTGTCCCGATCTTCGCGTCTGCGGTGGGGGCTCGGCCACAAGAAACCTCCGCAAGAAACCCAACCCTGAAATACGCGATTTGTTCAGTGAAAATCCACATGTGTCGATCGAAAATCGTCAAGATCTGATTGGGAGCCCATCAGAATCCAAGAAACCCGGGGCACCCTGGCAAAATCCAACTGGTACCTTGGCACGCGCCCCCATTGTACTCCCCCTTCTGCGCGTGGCCGACACATGCGGTGCTCCACCTTCACACGCCCGCGCGGGGGCCGCCGCCGCCCGCCGGCACGC